AGATCTGCTTGCCTCTGCCTCCCAAGTGCTGGGATTAAAGGCATGTGCCACAATGCCAGGCAAGACAGGGTTTTATTATGTAGCTGTGGCTGACCAAGAATTCACTTTGAAGACCAGGCTGGCCTCAAACTTGGAGAAATCTGCCTACTTCTGTCTCCTGAATACTAAAATTAAAAACCTGCTCCACCAGGCCCTGCCAAGAAGTGGGATTGATCTTGGTATATTGATCTTTTAATATGAGACTTTGGTAAATTCCTTTATTGGTTCCTTTTCTTCCAGATTCCTTACTATGTCAACCATTTTTATATTTGAACATAGGCTTTGCTGATCTCTTCTCTTGGCCATACATACCTCTTTTTTGTTTAAAGGCTGCATTAGTTTTTTGTTAATCTATAACTTCTTGTAGACTACGTTTGTGCAAATGGCTTTTCTGAGCAAGTTTAATTTTATGTGTATAAATGTTTTGCTTGCATATATATAAGTGCACCCATGTCGTGCAATGCCCACAAGGGGTCAGAAGAGGGCATCAGTTCTGTGGACCTATGGGTAGCAGTTGTGGGTACTGGGAACCAAACCTGGGTCCTCTGTAAGAGCAGCCTGTGCTAACCACTAAGCAATCTCTCCAGCTTCCTGAGCAAAAAGTTTAAAGATCTGTAACTAATTCATGTAATTATACAAATAAGATAATTTTTTTCTTCCAGGTTCCTCTCAACAAAGTAGATTATGAATATAGTGAACTGATACTATATCAGAATCAAGTGATGAGAGAGGCAGATTTATTTCAGGAATCTTTGAATCATATAGAAACGTACAAGAAACAGATATGTGATAAACTTTTGGTAGAAGAAATTAAGGGTAAGTTGATTTGCTTTTTTTTAAAATGACTTTTAAAATTTTGTCCTAACACTTCACACTTGCTGTATATCTGGAGGTAGTCTAAGTACTTAGCTATTGAGCCATTATTAATCCCCATAACAGCTCTGTGATAAAGGGAACCGAGGAGCTGTTGTCTTTTTTTAAATATAGCACCTACTGATTTAGAGGTTTTATTTTTTAGATTTATTTATTTATTTTTTAATTACATGTATGTATGTGCTTGTGTGTGGGTATATGCCAGGGGAAGTCAGAGGTGTCAGATCCCTTGGAGCTGGAGTTACAGGTGATCCTGAGCTATGCCATGTGGGTGCTAGGAACTGAACTTGGGTCCTCTGCAAGAGCAGTATAAGCTTTTAATGGCTTTGCCATCTTTCCAGCCTCCAATCCATTTTTTTGTTATTGCAATTAGTATTAATATCAGTATTAATGACAAAATAATGTTTCAAATAATTGATTAAAATATTATTATATAATTAGATACTCTTTTCTTTTTTGTTTTACTAATAATTTATGGATGCAAAGAGAAAGGTAATTATTTTTTCTTCCTGTTATGTTACTGCTGTTTTGGGGATTAAATCTTTTTTTAAAATTTATTTTTATTTTATGTGTATAAGTGTATTGCCTGCATGCAAGTGCACCTGTGTCATGCAGTATCCACAGAAGACAGAAGGGGGTATCAGATCCCTTGGAACTGGAATTACAGATAGCTGCCATGTGGGTGCTGGGATTCGAACCTGGGTTTTCTGCAAGAGTAGCCAGTGCTCTTAGCTACTAGCCATCTCTTTAGCCCCTTTGTGATTAAATCTTAATGCTTTCAAGCAGCTATTTCTCTGTTTCTTTCTTTATCCTGTAGCATTAATAGGCAATGTAGTAATATCAGTTCAGTTTTTTTAAAAAAAAGTCTTAAAAATGACTGCATAGCCACATTCATATTGGTAGTAAGAATAATTTGGGGAAGCAGTATCTTGAATATAGCCAGTTCTCAATATGGCTTATAGAGACAGGTTAAGGCATTATTTTTCCAGTGAACTTTGCAGGCCAATTTGATATTTATATATTTATCCCTTTTGTAATTATTAGCTTACTTAAGATCTTTAAAAAAATTGTAAAAAGAGATTTTCACTTAATTTGTGAATATGTATATGTACTTTTTTTGTTCTGTGCATTCTTTTCTTTACTTTTTATTTTATGTGAGTATATTGCCTACATGTATGTAAGTGCACCCGTGTTGTGCAGTGCCCAAGGAGGTCAGGAGAAGGCATCACATCCCCTAGAACTGGAGTTATGGATGATTGTTAGCCACCATGTGAGTGCTGGGAATTGAACCGGGTCCTCTGCAAAAACAGTCAGTGCTCTTAACTGCTGAGCCATCTCTCCAGCCCCTGTATTCTTTTAAAGATATATTTATTTTTATTTTATGTGTATTGAGTGTATTACCTGCATGTATGTAAGCATACCCATGTCTTTCAGTGCCTGAGGAGGTCAGAAGAGGGTGTCAGATTCCCTGGAACTGGAGTTATGGACAGTTGTTAGCTGCCATATGGGTGCTGAGATATGAACTCAGGTCTTCTGCAAGAGCAGCCAGTGTTCTTAACCACTGAGCCATCTCTCCAGCTACTGTTCTGTGCATCCTAATAGTAATAACATTTGCTTCATGGTTGTAGCAAATAACATGTTTATGGAAATGAAGAAATATGCTGTTGTCTATTTTATCTAGGATAAGTGGGGTAATAGATTGGCCAGGAAATAGTTGTACAAAGTAGGGCATGGTTATTGTTTGCATAATGAAAAAAATATTATGAATAAAAATAATATTATAATCTGCCTTCTCCTTTATGGTAAATGTTAAAGCAACAGTATATTCCAAAGGTGTATTTGTTTGAAATAGGTTCTGTAGGGAATCAAAAATGTTGGAAATAGGAAGGTATGATATATTTATTTTTGAAAAACTCTTTTATCTTGGAAGAGGTATACTCTCTATTATATCTGAAGGATCTAGAGTCTTATTTCCCACAGCCACTTGGAATTTTTATGACAGTAAAAATATTTGAACCTATAGATGGCTCACATGAACATGGCTTCTGTGGTTTCTTGCTATGAAGTAATGTTTTGTTGTATAATTGTGCTGAATTAGCTTAAACAATTTTAGTAATCTAGAAAGAAACCAAGAGGATTGAATGGACAATTACTGAATACAGGAACTGATCAGAAAAGATTCATTGAAATCATATACAGTAAGAATGTAGGCATATTTCATGAGAATTACTTGCTAGTCTAATTTTGCTGTGTGATTGTTTAGTTATCTTCAGGAAGGTATAACATATGTTTAATTTAGAGATAATTTGCTAAGAAATTAATATCTACATGTGATTTGGGGAGCAGGAAGCTAAAAATGAATTTTAATATGGTTCATTTCTGAAGGTAAGCTGTGAATTACTCTGTTTTTATAAATTACTCAGTTATATAAACTGTAAGATGGCCTAAGAGGAAGCATATAGAACTAGGTCTTTCATAAATATCTGTTCACTAGTGCTTAATGAATTCTCTTGGGTCAGAAAAGTAATGCTTAAGTAAAATGAGTGTAACTTTAAACTTAATTTTAGGGGAAATGCTGTTGAAATTGGGAAGATTAAAAGAAGCCAGCGAAGTATTCAAAAACTTGATTGATCGCAATGCAGAAAATTGGTGTTATTATGAAGGCTTGGAAAAAGCTTTGCAACTTCGTATGTAATGATTTTTTGCCTCTTAACTAGCTTTTGAAGTATGATTACAGAAGGTGTAATAATCCTTAAGAATAATTTTAGCATCAGCTGTTGTTTTCCCATGTAGTAAAATTACAGATTAAATATGGGTGTGAAAATTAACTCAAATATTTACACATAAATAATAATGCTAATAGATGATTTTACGTGCCTTGACCCATTTAAAACCACCTCTAATTATAGAGTTAGACATGGTGATGTATGCCTGCAGTTCCAGGAAGCTGTAGTAAGCGATTTGTGAGTTCTAGGCCAGCCTGGGCTATCTAGCAAGCCCTGACTCAAAAACAGGGTTAGGGAGAGTTCTCTGTGTGTAAAGTGCTTGCTACACAAGTTTATGAGGACCTGAGTTCAGATCCCCAAAACCCACCTAAATCCTGGCAAGGCAGTGAGCACTTGTAATCCCAGCAGTCCTATGAAGAGCATGGGAGGTAGAGACAGGAGAATCCCTGAAGTTTGCAGACAACTAGTCTGGCATATGCAAGAATAAGAGACCCTGTCTCAAACAAGGTAGAAGGTGACTCTGTCACAGACATGCCATAGCTCACATACATGGACATGCACACATATGTATATACATGTTTTACACATACAAGCACAAAACAAAAAGTCTAACTAGAGATAGAGAGATGAGGAAGAAAATGAATATTTCCTTTCTGGGAAATGACATAATTATTTAGTATTAAATCATTAGAGGTCTGTTTTCTTTGACCTTTATAAGAATTGAATGAAAGCATTCTCATTGAGGGTATATAGTGTACAGCAACAACATAAAAATTATTCTCTTGGCCGGGCATGGGCTCATGCCTTTAATCCCAGCACGTGGGAGGCAAAGGCAGGCAGATCTCTGTGAGTTCAAAACGAGCCTGGTCTGCACAGTGAGTACCAGGCCAGCTGGGGCTATGGGGAGACCCTGTCTCAAAAAGACCAAAAAAAAAAAATTCTCCTAATTTTAAAACAAGTTAGTTTGTGTAGAATGAAAATGTTTTTTGACAGTTTTCAGAACTGTAGAGAGTATTATTCCAATTTTTCCCTGGTATTTTTAAAAATATTTTATTTATTATTTTTAGTCTATGTATATGAGTGTATTGCCTGCGTGTATGTAAATGCATCTGTGTTGTGCAATGCTCTTGGAGGTCAGAAGAAACTGTTAGAACCCTTGGAACTGGAGTTACAGAGAGTTGTTAGCTGCCATGTGAGTGCTGGGAATCGAACCTGGGTCCTCAACAAGAGCAATCAGTGCTCTTAACTGCTGAGCCATCTCTCCAGCGCCTTTCCCTGGTATTTTCCAATTAAATGTTGGTAGGAACAGTTATTATTCCTAAAATCACGCACTCACACACACATAGTTGAAATAAGGGCTCATGTACCTTAGACTGCTTTAAACTTGCTGTGTAGCTGAGAATTACCTTAAATTCCTGATCCTCCTGCTCCGTCTCCTGAGTGTTGAGATTTATGGGACTATACTTCCATGTCTGACTTAAAATCTTATTTACTAATAGAAAGAATACCTGAAATAATTATGAAAATTTTATTTTCTTAGTTTTTTAAGGAAAATGATTAGAAATCAATTATTGATTGAATATTGTGTTGAAAAAAAAAAAGTCAAAAGTTACATGCCTTAGGTTGGAAATGTAAAATAATTGTGACTTTTTTTTTGTCTTTTTGAAACAGGGTCTCCCTGTAGCCCCAGCTGTCCTGGAACTCACTATGTAGACCAGGCTGGCCTTGAACTCACAGAGATCCGCCTGCCTCTGCCTCCCAAGTGCTGGGACTACAGGCGTGCGCCACCACACCAGGCAACTTTTTTCTTTTAAACTACTGGTTTCTAACTGTATTACTTACTTGAGATAAACAGCTTAAGGAAGGAATGCTTTATTTTGATTCATAATCTTCTAGGTGAAATTGCTCTGGGGTACATCTTCTAAACTATAAATCATTTATAATCATAATCCTAAAGCTGTTATTTAAGCTTAATCAACAGATATGGTAGACTTTTAGGGGGAGGCTCCATTCATTTAGGGTATTTAATATAAAATATATTATAAAGCATATGTTATAAAAATATGTTTTTTCATGGGCTCAGAGCTATGGAATAGAAAAAAAAAGAAATGCAGTGTCTTTCTGTGACTTGATGTCAGTCATTTGAGTTGGATGGAGAATCTATTATAATTACAGGAATGTGGATTTCTTCTGATATTTGGTTTAGAAGAGTGATTTCTTAATTATAGTATTTTACCACCACAGAGTTTTGTTAGTTCTTTGCAAAATTGAGAGCACCTTTGATATTAATAATATAATTTTTATTTTAAAGTTTATTACTATTTTAGATGATGAATCTTACGCATCTTTACTGGTAATAGGCTCTTTAGAAGAGAGACTTCAGATTTACGAAGAAATTAGTAAGCAGCACCCCAGAGCAATTTCACCTAGAAGATTACCTTTGAACCTTGTCCCAGGTAATACTAGGATATCTTTTGGAACACTAATAATTATTTTGGAATTAATCAGTATCATTCTTGTTTTAAAAATTTGTTGCTATTACAGTGTTTATGTCTATACCAATATTATAAGTAGGCGTGATCAGTTATGGACTTTATTGTGTACATTAATAAGACTGTCATACTTCAATATATAGCTAAATGTTAGTTTTGAGTGTAAGTTATCTATGCAAAACTGTTTTTCTTGTGTGACTTTATAAAGGCATCCATATTTAAAAGGTAAATGAAATTCCTCAGATTTGATGACAAATTCTAGATGAACTATTATTAAGTGGTAGAATTTTTTGGGGGGGGGTTCTTTTTAAGACAGGGTCTCCCTGTAGCCTCAGCTGTCCTGGAACTCACTATGTAGACCAGGCTGGCCTTGAACTCACAGAGATCCACCTGCCTCTGCCTCCCAAGTGCTGGGACTACAAGCGTGCGCCACCACGCCTGGCTAAGTGGTAGAATTTTGAAGTTTTCCATCCTTTTAGGGTATTTATATTCATAGAAAGAGTTGTGAGCTCTTTGTACCCACCACATGGTTTAGGGTAAGAACAGTTTTTTGTTTGTTTTTTTGTTTGTTTGTTTTTGTCTTTTTGAAGCAGAGTCTCCCTGTAGCCCCAGCTGGCCTGGAACTCACTATGTAGACCAGGCTGGCCTTGAACTCACAGAGATCCCCCTGCCTCTGCCTCCCAAATGCTGGGACTACAGGTGTGCGCCACCACGCCCGGCTAAGAACAGTTTTTGAAGTCCTTTGTATGAGTCATCTTTTTGTTCCTATGACAAAAGTATCTGAGATAAACAACTAAAAGGAGGAACGTTTTATTTTATCCCATAGTTGCATATGTTTAGTCCATGATTCCATCATTTCTGGACCTGTAGTGAGGCAGACCATCAGTGGCAGAGAGGGTATAGTAGAGCAAAATTGTCTACTCCCTGATGGCCAGGAGAGAGAGAGGCCCTAGAGCAAGATACACCCTTCAGAAGCATGCCCTCAGTGAGCTGTTTCTTCTATCTAGACTCCACCTTCTAATAGCCTATGTAGATAGGAACTCAGTGGGCCAGTGGAGCTTCCTTTGGGGACACTTGATATCTAAACCATAATATTTCCTCTCTTCAGAATTAACTATTTTTCTGAATTTTGCTTATTAGGCCATTGCTTTTATTTAAAAGCTCCATGTATTTTGCATCCCGAAAAACAAAATTATCTGTGTTTTTAATTTGTGTAAAATATCTTCTGTGATTTACTCTTATTGCTTGGTAACATATTCATAACCTTGAACCAGACTTTGCATGTAGCTGAACTTGTACTTATTTGGGGTCTGTATAAGAGGTAGTGAGTATATTAGTACTTCATATAACTAAGATCTTTGTTTAAAATTTGGTTTGTGGGACTGGAGAGATGACTCAGCAGTTAAGAGCACTGGCTGCTCTTGCAAAGGACCTGGGTTAGTTCCCAGTACACACATGGCAGCTAACAATCATCATTAGCACCAGTTCCAGGGGATCTGCTGCCTTCTGGACTCCTCAGGCATTGCATAGTAACATACATGTAGGCAAAACACTCATAAACATAAAAATAAAATTTAAAAATATATAAAGTACTTATGAATTTGGCCGGGTATGATAGCACTTGGGAGGCAGAGGTGGATTGCTGTGAGATTGAGGCCAGCCTGGTCTACATAGCAAGTTCCAGGCTAGCTGGGGCTACAGGGGAGACCCTGTCTCAAAAAAACAAAAACAAAAGCAAAATTTATTTTATCAGCCTTTTAGTTGTGCTATCAGCTGTAAATTATTGTCATTTCTTTGGTAGAAGTCAAACTCTAAAAAGCTAATATAACTTCAAATTTTTTATTCTGGGGATGGTATAGTTTATGAATTCTCGTAATGGAAATAGTTAAGTGATTGGATTGTAACCTTATTTTTATCAAAAAAATCATTAACTTAAATTTTTATTATTGTGTATGTGTGAGTCATCTACATGTGAGAGTGTGGGCTTGCTCATGTGGCACATGTGTCAAGGTCAGAGGACAGGTTTTTGGACTCTATTCTCTTCACTGTGGATTCTGGGGATGGAACTTAGGTTGAAGTTAGCAAATCAAACAGGCTAGTATGGCGAGCATTTTCACCCACTGAGTCATCTTACTGGCCCCGCTTAGTTGAGGTGAAGAGATGGCCCCATGAGTGAAAATGCTAGCTGTACAAATGTGAGGACCCTGTGTTAGAATTCCTAGAACTATGTGGCATAGACCAAGTGTATGAAATCCCAGTGCTCCCATGGATAGATGGGAGGCAGAAACAAGAGACTTCCCAGATACTCACAGGCCAGCTAGTCTGGTGTACACAGCAGGAGAACAACAAAGAAGACCCTCCTCTCAAAATGAGGTGGAGGCAAGGACCAACAACCAGACATCCACATGTACATGTAGCACACGCGTATGCCTCTATTGACACACATGCATGTGCTTGCCCATACATAGACACACAGTACACATGTATACACAAAAATTGTAATTGACACAATTGGGAAAAAATGAAGTACCCCTTAGAAATGTGTTGGATTAGATTGTAGATGGGCACTTCTAATTCAGAGTTTTAAAACATAAGACTATTTAGAATCCATTTTCAGTACTGATGAGATGGCTCAGTGGATAAAGGAGTTTGCCACCAAACCTGATAACCTGAGTTTGAGCTCTGGTAGCAGGAGAGAACTGACCTCCACAAGTTGTCCTCTGACCTGCATACATGTTGTGTGGTACATACACACATATATTCATATACACATACTCGCACACAATAAGTAAATGCAGTAAAAAAAAATGAGAGTAAATTTCTAATGATCAGTTACCTACTATCTGTATGTAGTGATACAGTTGCCTACTGAAGTATTGGGGTTATGCTTTCTATATAACAAAAATAATGCTGACTGACTTTTGGGGTTTAAAATTTACTTGGGAGATAATTGTTTCTGAGGGAGCTTTGTCTATTTAAGAATTATTTGCATCGATCAAAGTTTTTTTTTTTTTTTCTAGGTAAAAAATTTCGAGAACTCATGGATAAATTCCTGAGACCAAACTTCAGTAAAGGTTGCCCACCCTTGTTTACTACTTTGAAATCTTTATATTGTAATACAGAAAAGGTAAAACTTGATATTTCTTCAGTTTTGCTTTATTATAGATTTCCATGGACTATGCTATGCTTTAATCATTTTTTGTTCTGGTAGTGTTATTTGCCTTAATTTTTGTCTAATAGGTATACCAATATTATATGTGTATAGTTCAACTGATACCAAAGGAATTGTCAAACTATATGTTCATAGCATATAAGAGTTTTATAAAAATACTAAGATGGCCGGGCATGGTGGTGCACACCTTTCATCTCAGCACTTGGGAGGCAGAGGCAGGCAGATCTCTGTGAGTTCAAGGCCAGCCTGGTCTACATAGTGAGTTCCAGGACATCTGGGGCTACAGGGAGACCCTGTCTCAAGACAAAAAAAAAAAAAATACTAAGATGAACATCTGGATTTGGTGGCATACACATCTCAGCTGCTGTAATCCCAGCACTGGAGAGGCTGAGGAAGGAGGAATGCCACAATTTGAGTCAACCTGTGCTATATAGTGTGTACCAGGCCAGTCAGGGATACATGACAAACTCTGCCTTAGAAAACCAAAAGCTAAAACAAAAGAACCCAAACCATACTAAAATTATTATAAAAGTTACTTACTTCTTAATAGGTACACTTTTCAAGTAGAATTTTAAATTTCACATACTACAGGCTGGATGTGGTGGCACATACTTGTAATACCAGCTCTCAAAAGACTGAGGCAGGAGGATTGTTTTGAGTTTGAAGCAGCTTGAGTTACATAGTAAATTCCAGGTCTGTCTAGGCAACACAGTGAGAACCTGTCTCAGAACAAACAAAAAAAACCAAAGCCAGACTTGGTGGTTGTCCTAGTTTGTTTCTTCATTGCTGTGACAAAACACTCTGACCACTACCAACTTGAGGAGGAAAGGGTTTATTTTATCTTACATCTCCCGGGTCACAGATCATCAGGGAACCCAAGGTAGGAACTCAGGGCAGGAACCTTGAGGCAGGAGCTGGAGCACAGGCCATGGAGGAACACTACTTACTGGCTTTCTCCCCTGGCCCCTGCTCAGCCTGATTTCTTATGCAACACAGGCCCACCTGCCCAGGGGTGGCACCGCCCCCAGTCGGCTGGGCCTTCCCACATCACTCAACAATCAAGAAGGTGCCCCATGGACATGGCCACAGGCCAATCCAATGAAGGAAATTCCCCAATTGAGGCTCCCTCAACCCAAGTGTATCAAGTTAACACTAAAGCTATCCATCACAGCTTCTTTAGTCCTAATCAATTCAAACTGCTTGAAGAACACATTTAAAACAAGAGACGCATGATTGACCTTGGAAAATTCCAAGTTTGTGAAATATTTGAGGCATTGTGTTAGCTTTCCATCACTATAACAAGATACCTGAGATAAAAGACTTTGAAGGAATACTTTTTATGTTGGTTAAGAGTTTCATGGTTTTCATTTGTGGTTGCTTGGCTCTGTTGTGTTGGGCCTGTGGCAAGGTTGAGCATCTTGGTAAGGAGAGTATGTAGTGTATAGTGGAGCAAAGTTGACCATATCCTGGCAGGCAGGAATTGCAAAGAAAGGAAGGGACTTAACTGTCAGTATTCTGAAGGGCCTGACTTTCCTCCTACCTCCATAGTGCCATCAACTAGGGGTTAAGCTTCAATACAAAGCTTTGGGGGGACACTAGACCCACATCATAACAGCCACATAATTCATGCTGTCCATTTTGGGGCTCTCCATTTTTTATTGTGGTCCTTGGTACCAGTCTTAAGTGGATTGGCTCTCTTGGTTTTAAAATGATGGAAGCAAAATTCAGTTTTGAAGAATGAGGACTGGAGAGATGGCTCAATGGGTAAGGATTATGTAACTTCAGTGTATGTTTGGTTGTAGTTACTAATTTTTTTTGATTATTTAGTTTGTTGTATTTTTTATTATTAAATTGATTTTAAAAGTATGTATTACTGGAGCCAAGCGTGGTGTCACAGGCCTTTAATCCCAGTACTAGGGAGGCAGAGGCAGGCAGATCTCTGTGAGTTCAAGGCCAGCCTGGTCTACATAGTAAGTTCTAGGACAGCTGGGGCTACAGGGAGATCCAGTTTTAAAAAGACCCCCCAAAAATAAAAAAGTATGTATTACTCCAGAGATGCATAGTATACCCTGTTTAAAACCTGTGTTTGGCGGGGCTGGTGAGATGACTCAGTTGGCATTGACCCTTGCTGCCAACCCTGGCAACTTGAGTTTGATACCCTGGAACCTGCATGATAGAATAGGAAGGAGGCTCCTGCAAGTTGTCCTCTGTTCTCCATGTGTGTGTTGTATGAGCCCACTACCACAAATAAACAAACAAACAAATAAACAAATCCAACAACAAAACCCCCAGCAAACTACCTATGCTTTCTCTAGTTTTTACAAACTGCTAGTAGATGGCATCTAAGTTAATGAAAAAAATAATTGCTACCATAACTTGAAATAATTTGAGTACTGAATTTCTAAGCCTAGAAAATAGTTAAGTTATAGGCATTCTAAATGATTAGTTATGTGCTTTTGGTATATTAAAAGGGGTCTGCTACTTTTAATTTTCTTTTAAAAGTCTTTTTTCAACATTTTCATCAATGGTTCTCAAATGCTTGTGTATTGGGTAACTTGGAGGCTTTTAAACATACATTGTATAGAACCAGAGTTCTGATGTCTACAGCGATATCTAAAAATAAGCATCTCTAGCAAGCTCCTGGCTGATCTTGATGAAGTTAATGATATGAGGATCATATTTTCAGAGCTATTCCTTTTGAAAAAAAACAAGATAATACCATTAATTTCCAAATCATGAGTTTATTTTAAATTTTCACATCTTTGTTAAAAAGAAATGATGGCTAGGTGTGGTGATGCACACCTTTGATCCCAGGAGGCAGAGGCAGGCATATCTCTATGAGATTGAGGCCAGTCTGGTCTACCTAACAAGTTCCAGGCCAGCTGGGGCTACAGGGAGATCTTGTCTCAAAAAAAACAAAAAGAAAAAAAAAAAGAGAGAAATAATGATAGAATTGAGTTCTGCCTTTTATTTTGATAGAAAATACACATATTTGTGGAGTACAGTGTGGTAACTGTATACATGTAAAATGTGTAATGATCAAATAGGGTAATTAACATCTCTAGCTCCTTAAACACTTGTTTTAGGAAATTTGGAATGCCTGACATGTACTTTTTAAAAAATATAATGAAAAGTTGTTATAATTGTTACCCTACTGTGCTCTACAGCATCTTAAATTTTTCTATTTGTGACTACCTTTCTAAAAATATTTAAATTTTTTTTTTGTTTTAAAAATATTTATTTTATGTGTATGAGTATATTGTATTCATGCATGTAAGTATACCTGTGTTGCACAATGCCTGTGAAGGTCAGAAGAAGGTATTGGATGCCCTGGAACTGGAGTTATAGATGGTTGTCAGCTACCATGTGGATGCTGGGAATTGAACCCAGGTTTTCTGCAAGAGCAGTACTCTTAACCGTGTTGGAACCCCAGTTTGGGGTACCCAACGTCCATAGGAGGCCGCTCCCCAATAACTCAGTCCTCAGACCAGAAGATGCAACAAGCATAAGGATTTATTACGTTTTGCAAAACGGACCCCTGCCTCACTCGGAGGGCAGAAGCCCAGAGCCCAGTTCACAGGCTTCTTTTAAAGACAAAGACCACAAACTAGAGAGAAAGCGGCAGTAACGTCACAAGCGGCGGCTATGTGCCAAGCAAAAAAGCAGAGGCTATGTGCCAAGCAGACGTAGGGGGGGATTTCTGGGATGATTTCCAGCTTTGGGCAAAGAGCATGAAAAAGGTCAGCTCAGCTTGTTCTTAGCATTCAGAATTATTTTTTATTTTTACTTCCTTGTACAGTTTTTCTCAGGCCTGGGGGATTTTAGTTTAAATCCATTATTCTGGGGGCTTTGGATCCATCAGA